GATAATGATATTTTTCTTATCTTTCTTTTCAATATGTCCCTGTTCTATTCATTGTAATAGCCTCATTGAACAATGGAATATATGCTAAAGCAGTAAATGAAAACAAATCAATATATAGAGTAATGTCAGCTAAACAGGGTTTCAGACATAAAACAAGGGTGGGCGGCAGTTATTAAGAGAACACTACATAAATGTCGATTAAACTGACTTTTAAGTGTTGGAGAATCTTTTTGCATTTGGAATTATCCATAAAGAAAAAAAAACACTATACAACACAAACAATACATAAATAAACAACAACTCATCATTAAGGAGTTAAAACATCTGTATAGGGGATAAGGGGTAAGTGGGGAACCAGTATCTAAAATCAGCTCAGGATCTCAGACTTAAAATGAGACTAAAAAACAAGACAAAATAAAACAAAAGACTAGAAACTTTGGCTGGGGTGTGGGTGTCAAAATGTTGGGTGTGATTTAAATGCAAATTTGTGATGTCTAAATGGAGTTCCTCACTTGATCCCAAATCCCTCCGGGACCATACTTATTAACACTTATCTATCTCCCTGCTATTCTTTACATACCAAAAAGGTTTGTTTGAAAGTTTAAGTAATCAAAACCCAGGCCTACGAATCTTCGACTTAAATCAGTCTATTGGCAGCCAAAATTGCTTTTTTAGGGGGACAATTGTGGTGAAGCTCTATATCCCAGCTAGCAAATCAGCACAGTCAGAAACACATATTATATTACTGATGTTGATTTAATGGCTTCAGTTCAGAAGGATTTGACTATTGGACAGTGCCACATCATTAAGATTACAGCACTCTCCTGCCCACAAAAAATAATAACCTCTTATAAGATGTAATCATCTTTGTAAACTAGAAATCTCAGACATATTACATAAGAAATGTTTGACCCTTCCTGTCACTCAGCCAAATGCCACTTTGTTCCCCATGTATAGTATAGGCATTGTCTAGAAAACCTAAATATCTGGCATAATAAATAATATATGATATATTATCATAAAGTATTTTTATTTACTGCAGAGGATTTGAGCTTAAAGTAGCTGACGTGTAGATTCAGGAGGACGTCCACATCAGCTACAGCAGGACCCTCTGCGTAGTTCTGGAGATTTGGCATGTAGGTAGCAACACTCGGCAGACCGAGCATAAATCCACAGGGACAAACAAATAAACTCCCTCCCACGATGTGCTGGCTGCCAATAATTAGAAGAGCACATTCACAGGGATCTTGCCCAGGACCTTAGTTTCTTCAGCAGCCCTGCCATCTGCAGACCCCTCAACACCAGCCACATAGCGCACACACAGAAGATGAAGTACTGTGCTTGGGCTTTTAACATAATGGGAAAAATATTATCATTAATATAACTATTCTTTAGTAGCAGCTCTCCTATTTCATCACCAGATTTGGCCAGGAGACTGTGCGAGTCTGTATGTGTAG